GGGAGGCGGGGAGGCGGGGCCGGCCGGTGCCCGGGAAGCTCAGGCCGCAGACTAGGCTGGCGGTGGTCAGGCGCCTAGCGGGGAGCATGGGATGGAGTTGAGAGCTTAAGTTCTGCTCGGTGTGTATCAGTTTCTTGAGTCCTCTGCACTTGCTCCTACCCCGACCCTCTCAGCTCAGGGGAAACAGATTGTTCTCTGAATTCGTGGAGAGTGCCTGGAAAGTACTTTGAGGTCGGAGTCTGTTGAACCCAAGGCATTGCTCTGGGAGCAGAACATCAGTAGGACAGTTATTCATTTCTGGAACACATGAAGTTGCTTCATTACTTAAAGCTAAGAAAGGAAGGGCTTGGATACTTGACCCTGCATCTTCAGCTGTGAATGCTGAATAAATGTCTTGCTGTCAAGGGGAACTACTTTTTTAAAATTATCGAATGTAAGTAATGTCCAGTGGGAGAATACAACCCTGGATTAACATTCACATTAACACAAAATAGGATGGATTTATAGTCAAGAGCCCCAGCTGCCTTATCAATCACCAGAGATCGTCTGTGCCTCTGCCTTTCCCAACAGGCAGTGCGATCATTTGGAGGTGGCAGGGAGTAACGGTGTCCGAGGGTCAGAGGGCAGGTCAGGTGGGAGGAGAGAACACAGGTGGTGCTTGAGTCCTGCAGGAAGAGTTAAGGGTGAGTTAGCTGTGGGGCTTGTGGTGGTTGGAAGGGGTTTTAGTTAAGACTAGCCTGTGCCACGCCTGGAGGAACATTAAGACCTTCCAGATGACCAGGTATTGGTGTGAGATGGACAAGGGCAAGATATTTAAACAGTACCAGAACTACAGGTTCTCCTATACCATGTTGGGAAGACAGCACATTAGTCTGAGGACATCAGACAGGCAGTGGTGGTTTTTAAGCATGGAGAACAAGGTGACCAGAAAGGTCATTTGGGCTGTCATATGAAAACTGTGTAAGATGGGCATGGGTATGACCAGTTAAGAATATTTCAGTAATTTGTATGGCCAGTTAAGAATAAGTTACAGTAACAAGAGATGGTGGCCTCAACAACAGCAGTAGCCATGAGAATGGAGATTTGGACGGATTCCACAGATATGGGGGATGGAGATTTTAAATTAAAAAGCCTGGTGATTGATTAGATATTGGGGCTTAGGAAGGAGAAGAGTTGAGGCTAGTACTAAGGCTTCTGGCTGGAACTATGCTGAACTATGGAACATTGGAAGGAGGAAAAGATGTAAACACAATAGGTCCAAGCTCCTCCTCCCCTGGGGTGGCCATGTGGAGCCATACACTGGATATGAGTCTGATGACAGGAAAATCAATTGGGACTTTGTGGTCATCCTCATGTAGATAGAGTCTAAAGAGGGTGAGACTGCCAAGGGAGACCAGGTCGGGGAAGAGAGGAGCCCTGGAGGCTAAACCATGAGGAATGGTTTATGAAAATGGTCATGAAAAGAGGAATCAGGGCAATTAGCTTAGTGGATGTCAACCCTGACTTTGCAGGAGAGTCACTGAGGAGTTTTACAAAATACCCAGACACCATTGCCAGAAAGATGGTGGCAGTGGAGATGGTGTAGTTTTTAATCTACTTGGATTTTTCCATAATCCTCCATAGGATAGTATAATTCCTGTCGACTGAACAATAATGTTGACTAGGTGTTCCATAACCAAAAAGGATTTATTCGGGAAAAGGAAAAAGGGCTACAACCCAGCACATGCAGACCCCACAAGCCATGTGCACATTCTGGCTTGTATGCTAAGATGGAGGGTATTTAAGTGTATTTAAGGCTCATATTAAGACAGGAAGTGAGAACCATAGGGTTTTATGAAAAGGAAGTTAGGACCATAGAGTTGGACTAGGTGGGCTCATGAACTTCCATGAGCTCAGCTCCTCCTAGCCTGATCAGTTTCCTTAAAGTCCCAGTTCATCTTTATCACCCCAGACCCACAGGCAGTATGCACAATACAATCAGGACAAAGTATCCCCACAAAGCTCCAAATACAAGTAGGTGCTATCAGCATCCGGACAGCAAGAAGCAGGGGGTACAATGGGATATCAGGAGGACCTGAGACAGGAGAACCCCACATCCCCAGCAGGTACTCACTGGAAATCAAAGAACAGCCAGAATGGAGGGAGCTCCATCGGACCCGATTTGCAAGTGAGGGCAAAAGGACCTGGAGAGAAGGTTCGATGGTCGTGCAGGAGTCCGGGCCTCATACATTCTTGAATCTAGCAAATGGAAGCTTCCATCCAAAATGAAATCTCATGATGAAAAGAAACTGTTAGAATCAGAATTCAAATTCAGCAGGAGGAGGACAATAAGAGAGAAGGAAAGAGAAGTTTCAGATAAAAGTGGCTGAGGTGGACAGAACCAAGGAGTCTGAACAAGCTTAAGGCCATTTTCTTAAAGTAGTTCATGAAAACAAGAGGTAGCTATTGAGAATGAAGTTAGAAATTGTACAGCTCAGCACTTCCTAAAAGTTCAGAAAAATTAATTTCACATAAGATGAGCAATAGCAAAGTTATATATATAAAGCTATTATAAGATAAAAAGAATATGGAGCAGAATACATTCCTTCAGAGAATGAAAGCATGCCAGAAAGAGTCCGCAAAAGAGCTGAAAACTGCATCCTACTATCTCAAAATGAGTTAAAAGACATTAAGAAAATAATAGGAGATATGAAAAATCAACAAAATAAAAAGAAGGCAACCTGTGACTAAAGTGGGAGAAAATAATTATAAACCACATATCCAATAAGAGGTTAATATGCAAAATGGACAAGGAATTCATAAAACTCAATAGCAAAAACAAAACAACCCAATTAAAAAATGGGCAAAGGACTTGGATAGACATTTTCCCAAAGAAGATATACAAATGGCTAATACATACGTGAAAAAGTTGTCAACATCACTCATCATCAGGAAAATGCAAATCAGAACCACAATGAGGTATCGCCTCACACCTATTAGGATGTCTATTATTATTATTCTTATTTAATTTTATCCACTTAAACATTTTTTTATATTTATTTTTATTGGGGAACACTGTGTTTTTCCAGGACCCATCAGCTACAAGTCGAGTAGTTGTTTCATTCTAGTTGTGGAGGGCGCAATTCAGTGGCCCATGTGGGGATCGAACCAGCAACCTTGGTGTTATAAGCACTGTACTCTAACCAACCGAGCTAACTGGCCACCCCTAGGATGTCTATTATTAAAAAGACAAGAGATAATAAGTCCTGGTGAGGATGTGGTGAAAAGGGAACCCTCATGCACTGTTGGTGGGAATATAAACTGGTATAGCCACTATGGAAAACAGTATGCAGGTTCCTCAAGAAATTAAAAATAAAACTACCATAGGATCCAGTAGTCCCACTTCTGAACATATATCCAAAGGTAATGAAATCATCATATTGAAGAGATACCTGCACCCCCATATTCATTGCAGCATTATTCACGATAGCCAAGATAAGGAAACAATCTGCATCTATTGGCGGGTGAATAAATAAAATGTGGTATAAATACAGAGGGTGCCAAAAAAATGTATACACATCTTAAGAAAGGGAAAAACTGTATGAAGATTACGCTGATGGTAACCACTTGTAATTGCAAATTAACCATTGTCAAATGTGACTTGTATTCATCTTTGTTATCAGTATATATTATTACAATTTTAATAGTTTTCTTCCTTTCTTAAAATATGTATACATTTTTTTGGCACCCTCTGTATATACAATGGACTGTTTGTTCAGCCTTAAAAAAGAAGGAAATTCTGCTATTTGTGACAACATGAATGAGCCTGGAAGTGAAATAAACCTGACAGGGAAAGACAAAACTGCATGGAATCACTTATATGTGAAATAAAAAACAAACAAACGTTGAATTCATAGAAACAGAGAGTAGAATTGTGACTGCCAGGGGCTGGGGTGGGAGAAATGGAGGGACATTGGTAAAAGGGTTCAAACTTTTATTTATAAGATGAATAAGGTCTGAGAATCTAATGTACAGCATGTTGACTATGGTTGCTAATACTGTATTGTACAATAAATACTGTATCTTATAATTAAAATTTGTTGAGAGTAGATCTGAAGCATTCTCATTGGAAAAAAAAGAAAAATATGTGAGGTATTAACTCAATGGATGCACAGAATCCTTTCATAATGTATAGATATATCAAATCATCACGTTATATACTTTAAATATATTACAATTTTATTGGCTAATTATACCCCAATGAAGCTGAAAAAAGGAAAAAGATTTCTATGAACTAGAGTGATTTTCAGGACATATTGTTACGTAAAAAAAATCCAAGTGCAAAAGAGTATGTGCAATGTTACCTTTTATGTAAAAGGAAAGAAGCACAAGAAAATATATGTGTGTCTGCCCATTTTTGCAAAAATAAACAAAGGAGGAGAAAAACTGAAATGATGAGGTGGGTTAGCTGTAGAGAGGGTGGAAGGGTTGGAAATACAGTAGTGATACTCCCCCCAGTATTCTTTTTTGTGTAGTTTGACTTTTGAATCTTGTTAAGTTTTACATGCTCAAAATATTAGAGTACAATCCATGGAGAGGAGCTAAACAGAGTAAAATTAGAAACAAATGAACATACATAACTATTTCAAATGGATAACATAGCACACACAAGGGAGAAAACAACTATCTCTGGTAAATTTTTAAACACAATGTTTTAACTAGAAAACCTCAGACTATAAAATGACAAAAAGAACTGGAAACAAATACTAAACTCTAGCTAGTGTATTTGTCTTTCACAGTGACATAGGGTAGCAATTCTGAGACGAATTTCTGTGTATTCCAGAAG